AATCATGTCTTGTGATTAACTGACAGGAGTTTTACTTTTAAACTGTAGGTGTATTTAATTTAGTTATGTTAGTTATAATAGTTCAGTTATGATATAAATACAATAAAAATTAAACCAAGATTTATAATAATTATCATTTTGATCCATACATTAGTAATGTCTGACTGGGCCTCGTGTCACTTTATGTTCAATAAATTGGGCCCCGAGGTCAGAAAGGTTAAGAAGCCCTGCTGTTGACAAAGCACTTGCCATTCCAGCAGTGTCAGCTTGACACCACACCTGGCCCACACCTGTCTACCATTACATGACTGATCATTTCAGTTTAAATAAACAAACATGATACAATATCCAGGGAGAGGATATGTTTTAATGTCATGTGTTTTAATAATGCTGCACCTAATTCTCATATTTATAATATGAAAGTGATGAGTGGCTGAGGCCTTTTGTATTTGTCTTTATTTTTGTTTTATGCTCCTGCAGTCATGACTTTAACAAGACAGATTCCTGTTAGCTTCATTAGCAGGCTAACTGCACAGCTGCTCTCCTCCAAACTGACTCCCATCTCCTCCTCTCAGCTGTCAAACTGCGGGTTTTTTACGCATCCTGTGCAGACTGTGACACTACAGCTAGGTGACACGGTGCAATGTGCAGAAACAGCGCTAATCGTGGTGGTGCAGATGCGGACCTTGTCGGTGATGTGGGAAGATCGACCCGGGCTGGGGAAGCTGCTCTCCGTCTCCGGACGATGACAGACACGGTGGCGCAGATGATCCTGGTCAGGAAGGTGTAGGGCAGCGTCCAGAGCCGGTACAGGAGATTAAAGCCGTGAAAGTGGACCGGAGGAGTGTGTCTGCAGGGGAACGTGCGGCTCCTCTCCCCACTCTTCGCTATGGGAAGGAGCAGGAGACGAGGCCCATCTTCACACGGACTCTCTGCCACAGCCACGCCAACACACGGACCGGTTCGGCCGTAACGGGGGTCCCGCTGTGGTCTCCTACAAACCACCGGCCCTGGGAGCCGATTCGGTTCGACGGCTTCCACGAAAATCGCACGCGGAGCCGAGAATTTCTTCCGACAGCTACTGCTTCAGCACATCGGCAAGGGCGCCGCCATGTTGGGTTGAACCCAGGTTGCACTGAAGCGGCTGTGTGACGTCATCGCTGCTTCTTCCGGTTACACACCAAAATATAAACACGCGTGGGCGCAAACAAACAACGTACAATGAATAAACGGACACACACACACACACACACACACACACACACACACACA